AGACTGCCACGTTTTCTTTAATATCCCAACCCAAGTGGATCCTCTGGAAAAACATGGCCGAGCCTGAGTTTCATCCCACCTCCCTTCCCAAGGCTACCGGCTGAAAGACTACAACTTCTGCCCTGAGCACAGTCCAACAGAAAAGCCTCCCCACTTTGTGACTTTGATGCCAACCTTCAATCATTCAGGCTCTCTGCAGCTTTGCCCTTTTTCTTCACATCAGAAACTATTTCCTACCTTTCAGTTCTCACTCACTCAATTACTTCCTTCCACTCTCCCTGCTCAACTTAGCAATCAACCCCAGCTCCATGTCCCATCCTGTCCCTGCAGCACTGTCAGGATCCTCACCACCTTGCCTCCGCAAGTTGCTCATAGGGTGCCTTCTCTGCTTCCACACTCCAGCTCAGTCACAGGAAACTGCATCTCGAACCCCAACCTTTACTGCCCCTAGCATTACCTTCAGCCTCTATGCACTGTTCATCAAAAAATGCCAATCACATCAAAGACCCCATTCCTCCACACTAGCAAGCTATTTCCTGGTTCTAGCAAAGGAGTAGCAGATTCCTTAGCAAGAGAACCCACAGGGCCAGAGGCCCTACAAACCAAAGTACACAGCCTCTGTAGATACAAAAACAGAACTCCAACCACTCCCTGGCCAGCAGGCCCAGCCACATGACTTAACTCTTCACAGCCCTGCCCTCCCGTCTGTAGGTGCTCCACACAGGGGCTCTCACCATCTTTTCTCCGCAACATTCCACCACCCTTCCTTCCTGCAACCTCAACCCTTCTGCCTTCATGGTATTGCTTCTCCTGGGTCCCCTTCATGCCCAACCAAGTCTCAGTTCTTTACTGCTTCCTGAGATTTCTCCAGTTTATCTAGACATGCTACTTTTTAAAGACACTCTTAGCCAGACGTGGTGGCTCATGCCAGCACTTTATGTGGCCAAAGTACAGCACTTTGGGTGGCCAAGGTGGGAGGATGGCTTCACCCCATGAGTTCAATCAAGACCAGCCTAGGTAATGAAACTAGACCCTGTCTGGGGGGAAAAAAAAAACAAAACATTTCACTGTAGCCTCGAGTTCCTGGGCTTAAGCGTAATGACCCCACGAAAGCCTCCCAAAGTGTTGATTACTGTGAGCCACTACACCGCATCCAGAGCAGCCATGGTTCCTACACAGCATTTACAAGTTTGACTCCCAATGAACCCACCTAAGCTATAAACCAATCAGCAAACAAACACCACCCCATGACATTAAGTTTTCACTGAATGCTTCATGGAGCATGTGAACTTGGGCAGCAACTTAAATCAGCAGACTAACCTCCTAGCAGTCCCAATAAACCGTAAATACATTTCAAACAACCAGACACATGAAAGTTTTTAGTTTATTAATCTGCTTGTGAAAAATCCAAAATGGACACAGGTAGCCTTTACTGCAGCACCTTTACTCTTTCGGCTGTGAATCAAGAGAAAGACGTTTAGTCAGCAACTGCCTTTAAAATTCTTTAAAGTCTTAAATTCCAAAAGTAGTAACATTCATGCACCACAATTATTAGTAACCTAGAATATCAAGTTATTTTGATGTTATATTAACACAATGCAAGCATCAAAAAATAAAACTTACATTCAAGTTAGAAATAAAACAAAAATAATGGGCTAAATATTGCTAAACCTTAAAAACAAAACCATGTCACTATATTTTAAAAGGTTACAACTCTTCAGAATATTTGTAGATCTACTTCTGAATGTACTACACATGATCTGCTTTTAAACTGCTACATCAGTACACCAAGTAGTCTAGTGATCTACATGACTACATGAAAAGCTTGAATTATACCTGTGATCCAATCTCCAGCTCACTAAATCAGTGGTGGGGAAGGCAAAAAGAGAAAGGAGGGAAAAGAAAGATTTCATTAATAGTCCCTTTTCAAACTCAAAAATAATCTGCATTTAAGTGCATGCAATCAGGTACCTTAAAGTTGACCATTTTGTTCTTTGCAATTGTATACAGAGCACTCCTTAGAGACTCACTGATTTTATTCCTCCCAATTCTGACAATACGTTGCCTGATTACTGTAGTTCTTATGCAAACAAGGTGGCCCAACTTCACAATGAAGAGATCATTAAGCCAATGTGGTACCCAGGATGGCCTTGCCCACTGGTCAATGAAGTACATACCTGAGCCTCTGCCCCTCTGCTCTGCCCAGCAACACTGTGCTGGACACACATCAGGAACAGATATGAGAATCATTACAGATTCAAGTCTAATTTAACCTCAATGGGAGTGCTCTAAATCATCAGTCAAGTCTTTTAAAAGCTGCCTCAGTTCAATAAAAGATACCATTCACAGCCACAAAAGTAGTACAAGTTAGTATTTAAAGGGAGGTATCAATTTAGCTGAACTAAAAATACAATTGCTCTTCAGATATGAGACTACTAATACCTTAGTATAAGTAACTTAGTATATAACTCCACTGCAACCAAAAGGCAACAACAAATACCAGTTCTAACATCTGAACAAAACTGAATTAAAAGCACTATTGCTATGGCATTTCTTTGGAGCCAAAGAATTTATGTACTCAAAAGCATTGATTTTTCTAGCTGGCTTTTCAGAGCAGTGCTGGTGAGAGGCACCAGTGTAACGAAGCAGGAATAGTGATGGCTCAGGTCTCCACAGGTAGCTCCTCCGTACATGTGGGACTCAAAGGCTAAGCGCACTAACTCGTAGGACTCAAAGGCTGGATGAAGAGAAGAATCAATGTGTTAAATGTCCTTCAGACCTAGGTCAGAGGACAAATTTTGACTAATTCTTTTGCAACTTCTCAACAGATACAATCCTCACAAACAGGGAGCGGTTAGTGAGTAGTTGTGCTGGCAGTTCATTCATTACATACTCCATGGCGCTGGGACGTCAATGTGATTACAGTCCTGGGCAGGCAATCCCAGGTTTACTGCCTTGCCTGGCAGGGAATCACTGCAAAAGGATGCCACAAGAGGAAGGGCCTTCATTGATTCAAAATCCCACTATGCCCACCCCACTCCTACCCCACTTTACACATTACAATTTTAGACTGTTCAGATGTACAAAATTTGTTTTAAATGAGGTAACAGGCTGGGCGCAGTGGCTCACACCTGTAATCCCAGTACTTTTGAAAGGCTTAGACAAGAGGATCGCTCAAGTCCAGGAGTTCAACAGCAGCCTGAGCAACACGGCTAAATCCTGTCTCTACAAAAAACTGGCAGGGCATGGTGGCACATGCCTGTGGTCCCAGCTACAAGGCTGAGGTGGGAGAATCACCCAAGCCCGGGAGGTACAGTAAACCATGATCATGCCACTGTACTCCAGTCTGGGTGATGAGAGACCCTGTCTCAAAAAATAAATAAATGAGGTAACGGGCCATTTTAACCAAGTGCTTGTGGGAAAAAGCATATCCACCAAACACTTTGATATGAATAATTACCTCAAAAATTTTCTATTTTAAAAAAAAAAAGACACCAGGCAGAAAGTTGGAGATTAAGTAATAAAAAGCAATGGAAATGGTAAAAGGCAGCTTTGAACGTATCCAAACAGGACAGAGGCTTTGCCGGATTTCAGACTAGTTTATTACCAGAGCTGCCAGGCTGGTTTCATGGCTCCAGAGAGGACTGCTCCTCGGATAAGACAGCCCTTCCCAAGCCCAGTGTTAACTGAAGCCATTTCCTAAGTATGTGGATACAGCATTCCCCAAGTGCAAGTTAAACGGTGCCTACTTAGTAAAGCACTCACCTTCCTCCAGTGAGTTACTTCACATGTAACATGCATTTTGGAGTTTCCAAAATAAACATGATTTTAAAAGTTTTCTCCTTTGCTCATAATATACTATCTTAAAACATATTAGGTTGGTGCAAAAGTAACTGCGGTTTTTGCCACCGCACTCTTGCACCAGCCTAAATGGCACTGGCATTATAATCGACCATACTATAAAACTGTCATCCAAAGGTCAACATGCAAAGCATCATCAAAGCAAACTCAGTGAAGGTGATGCATCCCCACACCGTGCTTACAATCTCAGTACCTGCCAGACACTTCATTTCTGATGAACAAGAAATCCAAGAAAGTAGAGAGGAAAAGCAAAAAAAACAAAAAAAAAGTTCACAGAACACTTGATTATTTGTTAATTTAACAACCCAACACCTTAATTCTATTCAATGATTTACAATGTCCAACTATTTACAGCTAGCAAAGCTGGTAAAAAGCTGCTTAAGGCTAAAATCACTTGTCTTGGCCAACTGGAGAGGAAAGCAATCCTGAGATCTCAGTTGCCTCTCCAGTATGCCAGGAAAACACGGGCCACATTGATCCAACTGCTTCTTAAACCAGTGTCCATACTAACAAGTAAAATCACAGGGAATGAGATCCGCTCTGCATTGAAGGTTCTATGCCAATTAGTAAAACTAAAACTTCTTGTGATAGGCTTGAAAGGTGCCCACCAGGATCAATGAACCAATGTGGCCCCCAGATTGTGCTGAGGTGACAAGGGGTGGGCCAAGCTACTCTACTGAGGTGGTTAAGACACTATGCTACATAATTTCTTAAAACATGTTACCTTCTGTAATCCAGAAGAAGAGGGAAAAGAAGAAACATTAAGAAACGTTATTTAAAAAATAAATAAAATTCCTTCTTTCCTAGAAACTAAAGACCTACAATTAATGATGTTTCTGTATTTTCCTTGATGAACTATACCTTTTTGCCAGCACCAACATTGGCCTTTGCAGTCCCCCTGACTTTCTTCATTCTGTTCTTGCGTTCCTTTCGTTGCTTTCTTGAGGTCTTTTTCTTCTCATACAGGCCATGCTGAATGAGAAAACAGTACATCTAGGTGACTTGCAAACATTAAAATCATTACCCACCACTCTGGTAGGGAAACTGACCCAGTCTGCGCTTAACACAGCTTTCTAAACCAAAACTTTACAAGTATATTCAATACATGTTTTTGCTAGAACAGAAAGCATCATCAAGGGATTTTAAGTATAGAATAGCCTCACAGGAAAACAAACGGTCCACTCAATATTCTCTGAACAGGAAGTTTGGGAGACTGGCTGTTCTTGTCCAGACTTGAGCTCACAGACCACTATTTTTTTCTTCTTTTGCACTACCAAAACAAGGCACCTCCCAAGTGGCTGAGGGATCTCTTCCCATTGCAACTCCCCATTACTCCCTGCTGACAGAGAAGCCTTTACAACCCCCACACCATGGAGATTCTGATCTACTCATCGCCACTCTGCCCACCTTTGCACTTGCTCTTCCTGGGGCCTACAAGACTGTTTCTGTATCTTTACAAAGACTACTTTCAAATCTTTACAAGGATCTCAGCTTCAATGTCACCAGCTCAGCAAGGCCTTCTGAGAACATGAATGCAAAATCAGTTAAAAATAGTGCAGTCTCAGCTGGACGTGGTGGCTCACGCCTATAATCCCAACACTGGAAGGCCGAGGCGGGCGGATCACGAGGTCAGGAGTTTGAGACCAGCCTGACCAACACGGTGAAACCCTGTCTCTACTAAAAATACAAAAATTACCCGGGTGTGGTGGCACATGCCTATAATCCCAGCTACTCAGGAGGCTGAGGCAGAAGAGTCAACCTGGGAGGCAGAGGTTGCAGTGAGCCAAGATTGCGCCACTGCACGGCAGCCTGGGAGCTAGACTCTGTCTCAGAAAAAAAAAAAAAAGTGCAGCCTCTATCTATGACATCACCAGAATTTTCCCTCACAGCTATCCTATGGGAAGGTTCATCTAACAGCATGGGATAAAGTGAGTTAAAGGAACAAACAAAAGAAGCACTTCAAGGTAATGCTTCTTACTAGAATGTAAACTGGGGAGCTAGCCCAGATCACTGCTATAGTTCACTCTGCAGTGTTTGACACTCAGTATACAATCAAAAACCTTTCCTGGTTCCTGGCTACCTATGGGTTTAAGCCCAGACTCAGACTTAATCCAAACTAAACGAATTTGGTGCCAGGCTACCTTTCCAAACACATTCCCTTACTTCCCCTCTGGAAAACAACCCTTACCCCAGCCCAACTCCAAGAACACTACTTCAGCTGCCCTTCTGAACTCAGCTCAAATGCCAGACTTCAATTTTGAACCTCCGTACTCCACCTGTGCATTTTATCAAATAACTTTTTCTTAATCCCTTCAGAGTTGTCTCCCAGATTGCTTGGTCTTGCCCATTTTACCACACTCACAACACAACGCCATTAAAAAAATAGGTCTTCAGTAGCTGATGAACAAATGAAAAGACACCTACTCTTGCAAGTCTATGTTTGGGTTCATTTTTCTTTGCATAATCCAGGGAGTCATAAATCATGCCAAAGCCAGTTGTCTTGCCACCACCAAAATGAGTTCTGAATCCAAATACAAAGATGACATCCGGTGTGGTCTTGTACATTTTGGCTAGTTTTTCCCGAATTTCTGTCTTAGGCACTGTTGCCTTCCCAGGGTGAAGGACATCAATGACCTAAAAGGGGATATCAAGTTTAGTGTTCACTATGATAAAATGCATCTTCAGAGTAAAGGACAATTAAGCAAAGATTGACATGCCCTTCCTTACCATTTGTTTCCTCTGAAGTAGTCGGTTGGTCATGAACTTTCTAGTGCGGATAGTTACGGTGTCGTTCTGAAAACATAAACACTCTGGTTAATAAAACTACTCAAACTTTTCTTGGCCTTGCTGTGATTTTTCAAGACCTAGAATGCTGCAGTCCAATTTGTAGCCATTAGTCATGTAGCAAATTAAAGTAAATAAAACCCCCTCAGCAGGGCCAAATTCACAGGATACACCTAACAAATACATAAAATATCAAGAAAATATAACGGTTTTACATGAATCTGTACAACTTACTTCACTAGGTTATATGTATCTCTGGGGCAGGGTTTCTCAACCTCAGCACTACTGATATTTCCATATGGATAATTCTTGTTGTGGGGACTGTGTGTTTTAGAATAACTATAAAAATCCCAGCCCTCTAACCACTAGACGCCAGAAGGACTTCCCACCTTTCCCAGTTGTGACAATCAAAAATGTCTCCAGACTTAGCCAACTGTTCCCTTAGGGGAAAAATCACTCCGAGTCGAGAATCACTTCTCTGGGGTAAAAACCGCTGTGGCTCATATAAAGGTCACACTCAATGAACTGTGTTTATCATGTCTTGCACAAACGTGACCCAAACCTTGTACTCACTACGTGCATGTCGTCTATCCTTCTAGAATGGCCACAGCAGAGATCAGAGAAAACGGTATTCTCTTCTGTAGGACTGAACTGCACCTTTACTTAATACCTAATAAAGAATGTAGGCATTAAGCAATTTACGCTAATAATTTTACCAAAAAGGAGGCGCAAGAAACTTTCATAGCAGCAAATGACTTGCTAGAGTTTCTCCATTTCACTTTGAGAAACCACACCAAATTAAATCCACATCAGTGGTACTCAATTCTTCGGGGAAAAAAAAAGATTGCAGATAAGGTTAAAAACGGATGCTGGAGAAGCTAATAACGCATGACTGAAAGCAGGACTACCTTTTTATAACATCCCTTTCCAGGGCCTGTTTCCCCAGTATGAAACATGAAGATCCACTCAGCTGACAAGTTTTGTAGCTTACACATGGGAATGGTTTCACTTGCCGCAACTCGCCCAGGCGCTGCCGGCACCTTCTTCACCTCTTGGGCTACCATCACCTGCAAGCCGCCTACCTAGCCCAATTTGGAACTGCAGATGAGATGTGCCTGCCAGTGTCCATTTATCCCGCCCCGCACCCCCATCCACTGTGCTCCACGAAGTCAACAAGCGCCAACAGTTCCTGCACTGCCCAGGCGCTGTAGCCCGAAGCCCAGCGTGTCCGGGTCTGCAACGCAGCCTGCCAGCCCGGATTCCCTGCCAACAGCCCCGAGCCTCTCGACAACCATCCTCCGACTGAAACGGCCAGAGAAGAGCAACGGCCTTCGCGCGCCTATAGCTCAGATACTGGGACCCGGGGACGAAGGATGGCTCGGATACGCGGCAGATGACTGCACCGGCCCGGGGAGACTCACCATGATGGCTGCCTATCTTCGGACAGTCAGGGAGGAAAAGAGAGCCACTATTCGCCGGCCAATCATATCAACGCGCACGGAAGGACCCCGGGAAGCGCCGGCGTGGGGGCGTGGCCGCGCCGCGAGGCTGACCGCGGCGATGCCTGATTGAAGCTGCCTACGGCCCCGCAGCACAGACCTTTGGCCACACCCCTGGAACTCTAGACTGGCCAATCCGCAGGCAGAACAACTGGAGCCGACTAGGTTTACGCAAACAGGTGTTCAATTTCAGTTCAATTTATTATGTTGAATTGTACGTATTTGAATTCCGGTAAACCAAATTAGTTTAAATTGCCTTCTTCCGAGTTAGAGGTGGGTAAACTTGGAAGGCATCTTAGGATATCTTCTCTAACAGTCTCCTCTTTATACAGCTAGGGAAGCTGCAGAAACCCTGACTCTAAAACCTTTGTTATTTCAAGTACTTAACATTGCCCATTCTAATTTATTGTTCGTAAGTATTATTTTTTGAGACTTTTATGATGAGTTTTTCATTTAAAAGATCTCTTTAATTTGTATTTTTCTGTAAATCTTGGTCCTTATGCAAAATTAGTGTTTGAAAAATATTTGGCTGGGCGCGATGGCCACGCCTTTATAATCCCAGCACTTTGGGACGGCGAGGCGGGCGAATCACCTGAGATCAGGAGTTCCATACCAGCCTGGCCAACACGGCGAAACCCCGTCTCTACTAAAAAAAAAAA